ATTAGTAAGACTATATATTTGCCCTCTAACAATTACAGTTACTTGTTTTGGATTACACTTTGATGGTTTAGTACTATGCTCTCACATTTTGTTGGCCCTGTGATAATGCAGAAAATGAAATAATGGAAGTCAAACCATTTATTAATCTTAAGGTTTGTCATTTTTCGTACAGTAAACTGTAGAAAGATACACAAAATGGATGCCTATTATAACACAACTTCAAATAATTTCAGGGATATTTACTTGGAAATCCAACGACTTTTGAAGGTGAAGACAATTATAGAATTCCATTTGCTTATGGAATGGGACTTATTTCTGATGAACTCTATGAGGTTGGATTTTCTTTAGGTGTTATATTTGTACACTCTGATTAACTTTACTTACATTATTGGCTTACTTTTCTGAAACAGTCGTTGAAATCGAATTGTAATGGAGAGTATTTCAATATAAATCCAAGCAATGTACTGTGTTTGCAAGATGTTCAAACTTTTAACGAGGTTGGAATTGGATTGATCTATTTGAAATAAAATCAAAATATCATCTGTTTTATTTTTTTGATATTTGGCATCAAACAGGTGTTCATTAAAATACTGACCTTATATGCAGCTTCTTAAAGGAATTAATAATCCCCATATTTTGGAGCCCAAATGTAAGCTTTTTTCGCCAAGGCCACACCAATTGTTTGGCGAAAGAAGATCTCTTGATGAGAAGTTACATGAACTTAACAATCTTCCTGGACTAAAATGTCGCGTGAGTATTTGTCTTTCCATCTTCAATTATTATCTATATAATATTGCATTCTTTAGGCTATTGATTTTTGTATCTGCTAAATTGATTACAAGAATTTACAATGTGCAATTGCTTTAGAATAATTGGTACAAACATTCTTATCATTGGGCTGATGATGATCAAGTTAGAAACGCCCTCAACATCCGGAAGGTATGATAGCATTTTATAGATTCACTAGTTATTTACTTAATGTCAATGCGGAGAACTTAAATTCAGACTAACATATTCATTCGGTAACAGGGGACTATCGGAAAGTGGGAGAGATGTGCAAGTAATTTGCAATACCTAATGATGGTCACTAATAGCATACCATATCATGAGAACCTCAGTAGCAAAGGTTACAGATCTCTTATATACAGGTTGAGTTGAAATATTAATTGTGTTTACAACAAAATTGGAATAACTATGTGAAACTAACAACTTCTCTGATGTTTTATTGAATTGAGCAGTGGAGATCATGACAAGCTTGTTACTTTCCAATCAACTCAAGCATGGATAAAATCTCTTAACTACTCTGTTGTCGATGATTGGCGAGCTTGGACTGTTGACAATGAAGTTGCCGGGTTAGTTTTTGATGAAAGACGTACATTGTGGCCAACACCTTGAAATTCGCGTGCCTACATTAGTCAGAAAATCTGTCAGTGTATAGATGTTAAACTCTTTTTGTTTTTTCGATTGAACGATTTCAGTTACACAAGAAGTTACTCAAATCAGATGACATTTGCCACAGTGAAGGCAAGGAAACTATTCTCTCAATCTATTTTTTTCAACTTTCTTTTCTTAGTTTAAAAAAATTGTGTTAAAATTGGTTTGTTAATTTTATTATTTAACAGGGAGCAGGGCATACTGCACCAGAGTATAAGCCTCGTGAATGTCTGGCCATGCTCACAAGGTGGATGTCTTACCAGCCCCTGTGATCAACAAATGTATCACAACAGTTTAATGTGTAGGCTGGTTCACATTGTTGGTCTCGAGTTCGGATAAATAAAAAGAGGGTGGTCAAGAGTAGATCGGAAATAGTTTCTCTATCCCATAAAAGTGAAGATAGGGATAATAATGTTTACATATTAGACTTGTAATGAAAATTTATTTATTATAGTAGGTCTACTTAATATGATGATATAAGAAAAGGGTAAACAATAGAATTCCTACTAATTTAGGGTTTAATTACCCGTCTTCTTATGAGTTTTCAAAATTATCATTTATGTCAGATTTTGGTCACCAAATATATGTATCTTTTGATAGACGGATATATGGGGTCAAAATTAGGTGTATTTTTTCTTTCTAGATACACTGTATCCAAGTGAATGTGCGATACACTGATTCACTCTCTTGCTTTTCTCCTCTCTCACTATGTATTTGTATTTCAGAATGTATGTGGAATATATTTGATATTCCAGAATGTATATGGGATACACTGATTCTCTTGCTCGCCTTTCTTCCTATGTATATATATACTTCGGAGTGTATTTAGTAGCAAAATTAATTCAATATAAAATTACTTAAAAGTATAACAAGAATTAGTAAATATGATAGGAATATTTATATAATTATTTAGTTTTTCCACAAGAAATTTACTCAAATCTCATAGTGTCAAGAGGTAATTACATCATATCTCTACTCTTTTCCAAATTACAAAAATATCTTAAATTTGGTTGAACCGGAATACATCCCAAAACGTCCCGATACATCGCATCCTAGTTTCGGATACATCCTTCAACGTTTCGATACATCACGTCTCGATTTCGGATGCATCACTCAATGTTTTGATACATCGCGTACGTCCCGATATATCGTGTAAAGTGATGTATCCGAGAATAAAAGAGAATAAATTTTTTTATAGTTTTTTAAAATGGTAGAAAATTTTAAAAAATATAATAAAATAAATTATATATTTAGATAATCTTTCCAAAAATCTATTCATTGCCGACAAATAAAACTTAAAATCTTTCAAAATTATTAGATATCACAATGTCAATTAATTTTATTACTAGAAAAAGAGAAGCAATACATGTCAATTAGTACATGTTTATATTTTTATTAAGTATAAAACAATTTAACGTTTTCCTTTCCTACCAAAACACAATAGCAGCGTACCCTTTATGACTTCCCCAAAGTATCACGTGTAAAAAATACTGGCAAAGAAGATTTTTTTAAAAAATTATTTCATTGAATATGTTCTGAATATATACTAATAAGTTAAAAAAGAAAATTCAAAGTAAAGTAATTTAACTTTACTAACTATAACAATGAACTTATAATATTAATATTACTTTACTACATTAAATTAAAGTGGCTGAACTATATGTGAATGGCTACAAATGATCCAAAAATCAAACTTTTCACTTATAGAATAAATGATAGTACTTATTAATTGTCATTTCATAAAATTAGCATAAATGACATTACTTTTCCTATTTTACATCTGTGAGTTAATAGCCTTGAAAATATGCATTTGACCAACATTACGAATTATTTCACCAAGTCTTTTAATTCTTAGTCGATAGGGTAGGCTATAATAGAAAAAAGGGAAAAGGGTCATATTTACCCCTGTGCTATCCGAAATAGTTTAAATATGCCCTTCGTTATACTTTTGAGCCAAATATACCCTTACCATTATATTTTGGGTCAAATATACCCCTCATCCATTAAATATTTGAATCTCAATCTTAGAATAGACCGGTGGAGGGTTGAAATTGATTTGAAGGGCCCATATTTTCTTGTCTCAGCCAACACCCACCTACTTTCTTGCCCAAACCCATTTATAAATAAACAAAAGCACAACGAGTTGTTTTTAAAAAATATTTAGCTTCCTGCATTACATGAAAATTGGTTTATATAATTAATGTTTTCATTTATTTTGCCTATCAAAAATATAAAATATTGGAAAAAATGTTGCAAATTTTTTAAAAATAGTTTACTGTGTGTTGGTCTTAGAATTGAACTTTCTTATTGAATAAGCAAACAAAAGCACAATTCTTTCAACGAATTGTCTGGGTTTGATTCTAAAATTTGTGAAAGTTCAATTGATGTGGTTCTTGAAATTTGATTGATTTGGATTGACGCACTAAACATATAATGCACATTGAGGGGAGAAGTTGGAAACGAAATTGTTGGGTCTTTGACCTTCAAATTTGTGGCCGAATTACTTTTAAAGTTTGTGATAGGAAGTTGCTGTAAATCAATGGATTATTGAAAATCATTTGGAATATTCTTTTTTAAGCTGAGATTTTCTCTTGCTTAGTATGATTCAGCTGAATTTATTTTTAGGTTCTTTAAATTTGACAATGAGCTTGAAATTCTTTTAAAAAAAATTCTCCAGTTCTTCACCATAGACACTTGACTCATCAAAATTTCAATTAATTGTTGAGATTTGTAAGTGTCGTGTGTGCTCAGATGTTGAGAATCATCAACTTAGATGAATATGACATTACTCCTTTGTTGTCTGTTGATATGAGAAGTCTTAGTTGGGTTGGATTATGGGTTATTTTAGATGTTGTCTAGGACAAAAAGATATGGGTCCTTCAAGCTAATCACAACCCTTTCACTTTTCTATTTTAAGATTGGGATTCAAAGTTTTAACGGATGAGGGGTATATTTGGCCCAAAATATAATGGTAAGGATACATATTTGACCCAAAGTATAACGAATGACACATTTAAATTATTTTGGATAGTACAGGGCCCTTTTCCGTAGAAAAAATGGAGCAATAATTGGACTTTGATCTTGAATTTGTTTAGCTCATTTTCTTTCCTGCCAGACACACATTTAAGATGATTTATTATCATCAAATACTTATAATTTATTTTATATTATCATACAAAATCAAATCATAGAATTAACAAATTATGATAGAGGAAGTAATACTTATCTATTTATTGTCATATATTATATAATATATGACAAACTAAGCTTCAAGAAAACTCTGTTGTAGAAGAAATATGACAAAAACAGAGCTATGTTATTTATTTTTGGTTCTTGTTGTTGCAGAGCTTTGTTCAAGGCCTGCAATAGCTGGTTCTCCTGTGAAGTTTCTTCCAGGATTTAAAGGACCCCTTCCTTTTCAACTTGAAACTGGGTGAGGAATTATTAGAGTTATGTTTTTCAAGTGATTCACTTAAAACTCATATAATTGACTGGTGTTTCCAGGTATGTAGGAGTCGGTGATTCAGAAGATGTGCAATTATTCTATTATTTTATAGAGTCGGAGTCTGATCCAGACTCCGACCCTCTTATGCTTTGGATCACTGGAGGACCTGGTTGCTCTGCTCTATCTGGCCTTATCTATGAGATTGGTATGTATAGGCAACCTAGTAAAAATTTCAATTGAACATGTTAAGTTTCATTCATAGTGTAAAAAAATGTAATTAACCTTTGATTTACACCTCTTGATCATGCTTCAAGTTGTTTGATAAGAACGTATCACCAAAACTTAAAGATAATTACTATACAATAGTAGTTTGATGGACTCTTTTTGCATGGTGTATAAAGATGGATCTTGGGTCTAACTCAATCTCAAAAGCTAGCTCACGAGGTTGTCCAAGTCCATATAAGGAGACCGAATTTTCATCCCTTTTCCGATGTGGAAATTCTTAACATGGTAGACAAGATAAAGGAAGCAAGGCTGAGATGATCTAGACATGTGAAGAGGAGATGTACAGATGCTCTAATGAGGAGTTGTGAGGGGTTGGAAATATGGACATGATGAGAGGTAGAAGTAGGCCGAAGAAGTACTAAGGATAGTTGATTAGGGATGACATGTCTCATCTTCAACTTACTGAGGATATGACCTGAGAGAGGAGGGTATAGAAGTCGCGGATTAGGTAGAAGGTTAGTATATAGTACAACGTTGTCTCACTTTTTGCGGGATAAGCTTGGTGTTAGTGTGGAGCACCATGTTTGTCATATTACTAACTTTATTCTCATAGTTTCTTGTTCTTTGATTTTTGTTTCACATTACTTTATTAATGTTACTATTCTTTAAAATGCTCTCTATGCTGCTTTTCTTATTAGTTGTCATGTTTGCTTCAATGCATGTTTTCTTTTTCATAATTTACTACTCTTGAGCCAAAGGTCCATCAGAAACTATCTCTCTACCTTCACGAGATCATAGGGGTAAGGTCTGCATACATTCTACTATGTTCAGACCCCACTTGTGGAATTAAACTAGGTATGTTGTTGATCACGCTTCATCAAGCTAAATAAGAAAAATATTTTGGTTCAGATCATTGACAACTTGGATTAAAATATCACAAATAAAAGTATAATTAGTTGATTTGAATCCTAAAAGTTTCTGGCTTTTAACAAGCTATTAAGTTATACTTTCTAAACATTTGGAACTATGAATATGAAGGACCAATAACATTTGAGGCAGTGGAATACAATGGGAGTTTGCCTACAATGATACTGAATCCTTACTCATGGACAAAAGGTGAGAGTATTTGATACTGAAATTGTACTTTGTAATGTACATAAGGTTTGTGCACAATTCAAAAATGTTAAAAATATCATGGAAATTTTAGGTGGCAAGTATTATTTTCATAGATTTTACCGGTGGGCACTGGATTTTCCTACGCGACAACTCCAGCAGCTCTACAATCATCCGATTTACAAGCGACTGATCATGCATATCAGTTCCTTCGCAAGGTAATTATTACCTAGCTGTTTGAACTTCAAAAAAGGAATGAACTTTATTAACTATGTTCCCTGCTATAATATGATTATTTTTTGCAGTGGTTCGTTGATCATCCAGAATTCTTAAAGAATCCGTTTTATGTTGGTGGAGATTCATATTCAGGCAGGACTGTTCCCTTCCTTACTCAAATCATAGCAATTAGTAAGATTATATATGCCCTCCAGCAATTGTAGTTACTTTTTTTGGATCATGCTTTGTTGGTTTAGTACTATGCTCTCACATTTTGTTGGCCTTGTGATAATGCAGAGAATGAAATGGAAGTCGAACCATTTATTAATCTTAAGGTTGTCGTTTTTCTTACCAACACAACTCATAATGAAGTTGTTACAACACAAATGGTTAAAGATACGCAAAATGGATGACCTATATTATATATCTTCAAATAATTTCAGGGATATTTACTCGGTAATCCATCGACTTTTGAAGGCGAAGCGAATTATAAGATTCCATTTACTCATGGAATGGCACTTATTTCTGATGAACTCTATGAGGTAATTGGCTTTTCTTTAGTGTTATATTTTGTACACTGTGATTACATTTATTGGCTTAATTACTTTTCTGAAACAGTCCTTGAAGACCCATTGTAAAGGAGAATACCTTAATATAAATCCAAGTAATACACTGTGTTTCCAAGATGTTCAAACTTTTAAAGAGGTTGGATTCTATTTGAAGTAAAATTAAATATTATCTACTTGTTTTATTTGGGCATTAAAATACTGACCTTATATGAATGCAGCTTCTTAAAGGAATTAATGTTCCCTATATTTTGGAGCCCAAATGTGTGTTTGCTTCACCAAGGCCACACTTACTGCTTGGCCAAAGAAGATCTCTTGATGAAAAGTGTCATCAACTTAAATGTCGCGTGAGTATTCATCGTTCCATCTTCAAATGTTATTTACATAGAAATTTCATTCTTTAAGCTATTGATTTCTTGTATCTGTTTATAAACTCGCAATTGCTTTAGACTGATTGGTACAAACTTTCTTATCATTGGGCTGATGATGATCAAGTTAGAGACGCCCTCAACATCCGAAAGGTATGACACAAAACTAAATGAATTTAAGTTATTTTCTTATTGTCAATGCATAGAACGTTAAACTCAAACTAACATATTCATTCGGTAACAGGGGACTATTGGAAAATGGGAGAGATGTGCAAGAAATTTGCAATACGAAAATATGATCTTTAATAGCATACCATATCATGAAAACCTCAGTAGAAAAGGCTACAGATCTCTTATATACAGGTTGAGTTGAAATATTAATTGTGTTTACAATATTTGAATAACTACAAACAGAAATATACCAACTTCTCTATGTTTTTTTTTTTTTTTAATTGAGCAGTGGAGATCATGACATGAATGTTACCTTCCTATCAACTCAATCATGGATAAGATCCCTTAACTACTCAATTGTCGATGATTGGCGAGCTTGGACTGTTGACAATCAAGTTGCCGGGTTAGTTCTTGATGAAAGACGTACATTTTAAAATTATCGTACGTATATTAGTCATAAACTCTGTCAGTTTATAGATGTTAAACTCTTTTTTTTTCTTTTTTCGTTTGTTCGATTTCAGTTACACGAGAAGTTATTCAAATCAGATGACATTTGCCACAGTGAAGGCAAGAAAACCTTCTATCAATCTATTTTTTCACTTGGTTAGAAAAAATTGTCAAATTGTTAAAATTGGTTTGTTAATTTTATTATTTAACAGGGAGCAGGGCATACTGCACCAGAGTATAAGCCTCGTGAATGTCTGGCCATGCTCACAAGGTGGATGTCTTACCAGCCTTTGTAATCAATAAATGTATTACAATTGTTTAATCGTGTGAGCTCATTGTCAGTCTCAACTCTCAAGTCCAGATGAATAAAAAGAGGGTTGTCGAGTCAATAGGAAACAGTTTTCTCTACCTAATAAAGGCAGGGATAAGACTGCGTACATCTTGTCTTCTCAAGTCTCAGAAATTAAACAAAATTTGTCGTTTGGTCTACATTTTTATTTATTAATTATTATTTTTTATTAATGCACGTCAATGTCCAGTAACCTCGAAATGTTTGACAGAGTGAATGGTATGAATATCATGTTTGTTCTGAGTTACGTTTACGCAATATTATTTTCCCTAATGGATTTAAGTTTTACTTATCATTATATAATACTTATTAGTGTAATTTAAGCAACTATGATCGATTAATACTATATTTTTCAGACTATCATATTGGTTTTATTATGAAAATTTATTTATAATTGTAAATTTACTTAATCTGCTGATACAAAAATTTATACACCAACAATACATGAAACTTGAAATCTTTTCAAATAATTAGACATCACAATGTCAATTGATTCTGCTAGAAGAAGAGAAGCAATGATACATTTTCATTGGAAGAGAGGAAACAAAATTCTCAAGGACGAAATTCAAGATGATTACAAATTGGTACTTGCAAATCATCTTGAACACGTAATGTCCCTTTTGTCTCGTATTTTTTTTTTGATAAATATGAAAACAATCTTAAATTTGATGTGAATTTTTACTTTAATCTCCTGATTATTGATAGTCTTATAACACTCTTCAACTTGATTAAATAATATTACAACACCCCTCTTATGCCACGTGTAATCCACCCATGTGTGTACTAATATAGTAAAATAAAATAGAAAAAACTATTACTATTTAAAAGGTCTTCTTAAATTATTAAATTCATAGGATTTAACTATTAAATATTTATTTTATTATATATATTTATGTGTATGTCATATCAATAGAAAATACCACATATATGATACATGTTTGGGTGGATAAGATGTGACATAAAAATGGGTGTTTTTAAGATTGTCAATAGTTGAGAGATTAATGTAATAATTCACGTCAAATTTAAGGGCATTTTTTTTTCTTTCAAATTTAGGCAACACTCTTCCTTTTTAATTCGTTCTAAGAATAGTGATACACGTCAATATATTTTTAATTAGTAATAATTTAACTTTACGTTTTTTTAATTTATACTTAAGATGTGTTCGATATTGTGAAACATATCTTTTAATCTTTTCATGTTCTAATAAAAAAAAATTAGAAAAATATTTTCTTGAAAATAAATTGCTTGATGGAACACAAGAAAATATGTAGATTACCTACTTATTTATTTAGACTAGATAATATTTTTTAAGAAAATATTTCCCATGGAAAAGATTTACATCCCAGAACATATATATTCTCTGACAATATAGATTATTATTTTTAACAATATTTTGTATAAAAAAATGTTAGTTGGAAGGTGATTGTTATTTCTAAGAAAATTTCAAAAACTAAATCGAGATGCAAAAGAATTCATCTATCTTGTATTCTCTACTCCCTAAATTAGCTTAATTAAATTTAATTTTTTTAAAAAAAAGATTTTTTGACTTTTTATCGGGGCGGGGGGGGGGGGGGGGGG